GAATCGAATTATTGAGGGGAAAAGACAAAAGAAAATTTTGAAATACATAATTACTGTTTGAAATTTAGAGGGAAGTATTGATTCACGCAATATTAGAACTTAAAAGAGATTAAAGACATCAAGTGAATAAATTAATATCAAAAAATGACTTCCGTTGAGATGATAATACTTATCTATAAAGAGTAGACCTGGTAGGTAGGTAGGTAAGTATGCCGTATATTTGATTAATTTATTGTGCAGACTGTACTTACAAAATGTTATTCAAGAATAAACTTAATATAGAAAAGGGAAACTGAAGGTAAACAATGCGGAGATGCGAAAAGTAATTTATTTTTTCCTTACATTTATAATTGCGTATTATAAGAAACAATAAAATGCTTTCATATGAACTGATTAAAGTTGTCAATGCAATTTTCTCTTGTTAGAAAATGAATAATTTATGTCCTGAAATACTCTAATAACAGTTGAGCTATAAGACTAATTATATAGATTGTTATTTTGAAATGTGCTATAATGGCTAAACAGTATAGTGAAACCCGACAGGTTGCTTTTATAATAAATTAGAAGGATTAAAAAAAAAATGTGCTAATTTATATTTAATATTATTGATTTATTTATAAAATTTAAAGGGCTACGGAAAAAAACGATCATAATTACTTGCCAATTTTTTATCAATAAAGATAGTTAAAGAACAATATTATTTTATGTGCGTTATATTTTATCTTATACTAAATACTTTATCTCCGAATCTTTTTTAAGTTGTGAAACTTTAACACTGCAATACTGAAAACTTTGGGTTCATGATCGTTTTTCCCCAGTCCTTTATTTATATAAGTATTTTCATTTACATTATTGACATTTTTATGTCTTTGCTATGGTACACACACAGAAAATCGACACCGACACCGCTTATCATAATGAAAAATAACAGCTGATTTATCTGATAAGAGAGATAAGGGAAGGAGATAAGGGATGAAATTAGGGGGTGAGAGCTAAAGGTGAGAGTTAGGGGTGAGAGATAGGGGTAGGAGGTAGGGGTGGGAGTTTAGGGGCCCAAATTCTCTATAAATTGTTTTAAGCTAGATATAAACACTACAATATAAGCCAGAAACTTGATGTTTTAATATACTAGCTTGTTTCTGCTTCTTAATATACTGGGGGCATATATTATGTTGTATTTACAACGTTCAAAATAAAAATGAATAATAATTCAATAATTTAAGGGGCCAAATTCTCTATGAATTGGTTTGGGCCAGATATTATGAAAACACTAAAATATTAGCCAGAAACTTGATATGTTTACTTGCCATATATAAAAATGTATCCCGTGGTGTTGCGGACTCGTACGCAAGCTGTTAAAATATAATATGTAATACCTTTCTTAGAAAAATAACTTTGAGCCTTTTCAACTCAATTTTTCCATTTAACTTTTTATTAAATGTTTATTGCAATGTATTTCAAGTTTCTGAAGACATTTTAATATTTTACCTAGAAACATTTAACTTACAAGTTCAAAACTACTAATACCAAGTAAAAATAACCTTATTTTAGACACATTAGCCGCCACTCCACGATTCAGTTGACCCAATTAATCGGTCTAGTCAGTCGAGTAACCAATTTTTTTATCTATGTGTTAATAATATACGTGCGATTTGAGACTGTTTTAGTTCTTTAGACGAATATGTCAATTAACCGTGAGTCCAATAAGCGACGACTACTTTATGATAAAAATAAACTGACATTCTCTTTCCTTTATCTTAACTTCTCACAAATTTTGTTTTCATTTTTAAAGAGTCCGGAAAAGCCCTCTCACTAGACCTCAGTTAAAATAAGCGCGATTGGTTTCGCTTATCTGCGTCTAAAAACTCCAACAGTTTCACCTCTGTGGACGGATTTGCTCGTGACAACTGTCTGAATATTAGTAAAGGATGATCAATGTACATTTCTTTACACATGTGTCCTGCGTTGTGTCACTGAAATCCTCTAATGACTAACTGATATGAACATAGTAATACAAATGCTTGTTATAAAACTTGTGTCAAGAGGATATACTGATACAATTATAATCAATATTCAAATTAGCCAAATATAACCGTAAACCACACACAAATGTATCAACTAAATCTAAGGTACTAAATTTATTTATAGAAGTTTTTTAGTTTTTCTTGTTTAAAAATTGTTAGTTCCAGTTTTATTATTTTATGAAGATTCTCTTTTAAGTCAAGTACAATTTATTGATAATAATTTAATCACTGACTATAGTTTTGGAAAACTTACATTTAAAATATTAACTATCATTAGTGCTTAAAAATGTTAGTAAAGAAAGAGGCTTAGCCTTAATATTACTTTTATTTACGCACTTATTCAGCCGCACTTGCTCTTAAGTAAATATTTTTAACTTGTTTTTAGCAATTAGTTATTGATATGATACAAACTGTATACACAAAAAATGCTATTCGATTTTCAAAGGCATATAAAATTGTTGTTAATCTAAAATACAGAACAAAATTTACAAACTTAATCCGGTAATAATAATGTTATTTGTCACGCTATATTATTGTATCATTATTCATTATTATTTAAGATTACAAAATTACTAAAATTAAAAAGAAAACTAAAAAGTCATAATGTGACACCAATGTCATTCAAACCCTGTTTTTGACTTTACGCATATTTTAGTTACGTTCATAATATGATTTGGATCTCGTGTTATTGCTTACCCACTGACTGCAACGTTAAAAATACTTATAAAATTGTAATCAATAGTCTTACGCTTACTTAAATTAAAGTCATCGGTTGAAGTCGGGTAGGGCGACATTTTATGGAGTGCTAAGTATACTTAAAACTGTGTAATTTTTAATTCTCATTGATAAATTAGTCATAGTTTACTAAAATATTATTAAATATTTAAATTGGAAAATATAATTTAATCATACTAAATAATGTAAGTGGTTTCCTATTCCTATTTACAGTTTATAATTTATTCCAACGATTTATGTTATGTACCACAATTATTAGAAAGATTGTTTTAAAGTTGGAATTATAAACCTAATATTAGAAAAATAATAACGATATATATTATAATAACATACATTATTAGAAATAACAATATTATAAAACTATGGATCAAAATAAATAATTAATTATTTTTTTCAATAACCATTTTCTCTCAGTCAAAATATTTTATTATTAATGTTTGAAATCTAAATAAATATATAAGTTAATACATTTTAAGAAATGCCTTATTATTATTTGTAAACACGATTTAAAATACAGTCCGAATAAATTGGGTAAATAAGCAATTTGAAAAGGGATGCTTGTAAAGGAAAAAGATGCACTTAGAATATATTAACCAAGAGGCAAGAGATTGTTTATTTCTTTAAAAAAAACTTATTGATTCGATTCTTACACTTACAATTAATGTATAATTTATGTAAATTCATAAGATGGACAAGTTTCTTTTAACTCGGCATAATTGTGTTATGTCAAACTAAAGTGAATACTTAATACTTTGCTTATTTTGCACTCCATATTATTATTTTTTATCAATTTATAATTTACAAATAAAAACCTTAAAACTATAAATATTATTATGAATTTTAGTGTTATAAACATATTTTAGTGTTTCTTGTTTTTTTGAGAATAAATAAGGCACAGAGTACCAGAAAATAATTTTATAATAATAAAATATTTCAAAAACAAACCCAAACCTAAAAAAATTAACAGATTTGCTTAGATTTTTCATTTAAAAATGTATAACTGTTTTTCTCTTGAAATAATGGATCAGGGGATTAATTTTTGATAGCGCTTTGCGCAACTAATATATTTAAAGCTATTTACCTATAATATATAATTTTATCTGTATAAATTAAAAGAAAAAAACTTTTTTTTTACGCTTGTTTGAAACATTAAATTATAAACGCGCCGAAAATAACTTCAGCACCTCACCCACTTGGAAGTTGGAATTTGGAAGTAATGACTAATGTTCTTAAATTATTCCTTCAAAAGTCTTATCAATCTCTTTGTCAGTATTTTTTTTTTTATCATTATTATACGCCTATGTGTTTTAAGTTCATTTACGGTTGTTCCCTTCGATTTCACATAGGATAGATTTTGTGGAAGTAATAAGTTGTAAAGTTTTATTGACCGAACAAAAACGCAATTTTCTTTTTCTTTTTCCCCATAGCGTATAATATGGATGCTTTTCAATCTTTACCCGTTTGCCATCCTTCTATAGCGTCAATAAAAACATTTGTACAATATACATATATTACTTTTCTAGTTATTTTCTGAACGACGTTACCAATTTCAAACTCATTTCGCATTGATAAACAGATTGGGTGACGGAAAAAAAAACAAAACGAATAACAGAGAATACGAATTTCATCGACCATAACACGTAAGCCCTTTAGGGAAATTTCTTTGTTTCCCAACGCCATTAGTAAAACTGCCGAACAAGAAAATACATTTCCTTCTTGTAAACCTACTAAGCGGACATCTTTTATTGTTCCGATCCCGTGACAAAAAGAAACCAAGATAAAAAATATGTTGACCACATAAAAACTTTTTAAATACAAACTTGGCAGATAAATACTTTTTTTTTCTTATACATCGTCCCAAATGGCTTTGAGAAGTATTCAAAACTACTGGGTTACATAAACCAGATGTTCTTTGATGTTATTTACAAAGGATATACTTTTTATTTTATTTTAAACCAATTTGCTTTTTAGTTAGATTTACGATTTTTACTGGTGTGCCGATATTTCCTAGTTTTTCTAGTAATTTATTCCAAATTGAATATACTATACACCTACTCATTGTTTTGTGTTGACCCGGCTGATTGATCCCTAACTGACTAGTAAAACTTTTCCCGTTTATCAAAAGACATCCGACGGTAAAACGCAGGTGGTATATTGTTTAAGTCAAGTGCACAAAAGCCTCTTACTTCTACTTCATTTGGTAGCAGACTTATTAATATCGTACTCATAAACTAGACATACCTGTATAAGAGATCCAGTGTAACGCCATTAGCCATGTTAAAGCGAGCCGGAGTTGCATGGTTTGTATTGTAATAGTAGTTTGATCAAAATGTAATTTTCTTTATTTATTGTATTTTACTTTGGGACACGTATATAATGTTTATTCGCACTCAAATTGGTATCCGGAATGTAATTAATTAAAATTTAAAAGAACGAATAAGAAAGGCAAGTTACTTTATCAAGAAAACGTCTATGAGCTTTAATATCATCATAATAAAATCGCCACGGTTCCAATAGAAAAACCTGAAACACAAATACAAGATAAAATATATTTACAATATTCAGCGTACTTTAATTTATGACACTTATGTTAAAAAAAAATGTAAAAATCACTATAGCATTTATTAGTTTTTACAGTATACACTCAATCGTAAACATTTTTGCTTAATTTCCACTAGAAGCTTTTAAGGTATATGCAAAAGACTGTACTATTATAATAAATGTTACATATTCATCGTTTTCATAATATTTTGTTCGTCGACTGTTGCGATTGTCTATCAGCCGGGAACTGACCATTGTATTTTATCAATCAATAGTAAGTCAAGTTACTTAGTACGTATACTGATTTGGTTTATGTTTTTTTTTAAATTATACATTTTCAACATCATTCCCGTTTAACCGATTTAAAATATCTTAACCGATCTTAATATATCAATTCTTTGGTTTTTGATAATAAAAACTAATGTACCAGTATAATTAAGGATTAAATAAAGTAATTAGATATTAACTGTTAATCTACAGTAAAACGGAACCTAATAAAAATTACCCAGACAGTAAAGTACAGAATTCATATTATTATTTTTAATACAGCATAAAACAGTTTAAAACATTTTATAACAATAATTTCACTATATTTTAGAACTAATAATACTTTTGTTGCATGTAAGGGTATGTATATACTAATTACTTATTCATCTAAAATATATATTTTATTAATAATACAAAAAAAAATAATATATATATAAATATATATACATTATACATACGAGTATATACTTCCTTACGCCACAGCGCAGCACCATTTAACTAATTGCGATAATAATGTGTAACGACTAACGAGCCTGTACATATCAACTATACTAATGACTACATTTTTATAACTTGAAAATAGTGTTAACGCATTTATTACCTTTAGCATAACTACGTCAATTATTAACTGTCTTCGGTGTTTAATTATCAGATAATATGTAATGCACGGGCAATTCATTAAACTTTTTTGATACTGTAGAATAATAATTGAAACATCCCCATTAGTCGAATATTGAGGTACATTCAAATAGGTAAATGTTTTATTTTATTATTATCCAAAGCTTTGTAACACACAAAAAAAGTTATGTATATTATACTTATGACAACATTTGGAATAGAAAATTGATTAAAACAAAAATATATATTTTAATAAGTTCTAAAACAAAACTCGATTTTTTTTCTAGAGTTTCATAAGTTACAAGTTTTACTGGATATGCAAACATATTATATTAAAGTTAACTGTTGGTTTATAATTTTTGTACAAATATAAAAAGTGCAATTAACTGTAAATGATTATATATGAGCTGGATGGTTTAATTCATAGGTATAAAAAAGAGTCAGTAGGGCTCAGTCGCAAAAGGTAAACGTCGGCACTTACGTCAACAACCTACAATTTTACAATGTCAAGTTAGTAATTGGTCTTATAAAATCTTAATTTTTTTATTAGACTCGATTGCTTGAGTTATTATATATCGATTATTATATCGATAACTTGAACTATTATGATTTAAAGGAATGCCTTAATTTATGTCGCCCTTCAATCGTAAGACGTGTTCGTTTGAAGAATATGAAAATGAAATTTAATAGGTGTTAATCTGAATTTTTATTTACGATTTCATCAACTTTTAGAAGCGTCTGTATAAATTTACTTGTTTTAGAAAATGTATGGTCAAGTTTTTATATGCTTTCAAAATACAGTTCATCCTTTTAAGACGAAAATCTTAAGGAAAATAATTACTGTTATCAAAATGAAAGTAATGTGCGTTTCGGTCTTTGTTAAAACGCACGTCTTTGGTCTATCTTAAATTACATACGCCCCGCGTGTACAGACAACAACCCAAACGGTTTTCGTTAGTCGCCGTTTTTGAGTAAATAATAATAATTTGGCGATATATCTTCTGTTCACGTCTTATCCCCAACGTAGCATTACCGCCGTCTTGATTAAAAATAGTAAATCTCTCTCCACCTTATGAAATTAAACATTCACCCAAGACTCGCAGTCCACCCACCTACTACGACCATAGATGGATACTCTTGGTTATATTTTTCCATTACAGACATTTGATATCACCGTTTCTAGCTGAACACGAGTGCTCACCTTTACTCTTTATTCAAGGATTTTTTTTTTCGTACTTTTATTAAACGAAAATATCATCTATACAAGTAAATTCATCGCAGTATCCTATTTCTCCAGTATTCATTGAGTGTATTCGTCATTATCAACAAGTACTGTTCTATTATTAGAACTATACCATGTTTTTATTATTTATACGAAGTATATCTGTGCTATAATTATTAAAAATACATCATAAATTAGACATTTGTTAGAGAAAAAGAGAGTTATTACTTAATACGATGAAGAGTACATATCTTGAAGTTTGTACTTGGGTAGCTTCATTAATAATTATTTTTTTTTTTTAATTCAATATACTCTCGATTCGAGTTGTCAGCTTCGCCATTATTTTAAAGTTTTATGTCTACCATTATTTTTTAATGTTTTAATCAGTTTTGAAAATACATATTTTTGCTTGAAGTTAATGAAGAAAAACGGAGCAAAAAATTCCTCTCATCCTTGATATTTCATTTTTAATTTATTATCAAACAGAATAATAAATTAACCACAACATAATTTAAATAAATTATTCTCTAGAAAACTCTTAAGACTGTTATTTATACTTAAGTATTATCGTGAGTAGAAATTGTATTCAAAGCCTACACTAATTAAATTTGGAACATTTTGCGTTTAAATTGTTCCATACCTTTTTTCAGTGATTAAATAATCAAGTATATATCATCAGTTAAAATATTGCCAAGTGATAGAGTATAATATTTGTTTTCGTGTTATGAACACCTTCTATAGACTTTTGATCAAGTATTCAAATAACCTTTGTGACACAGTCAAAGAACCACTCGAAATTCGGTACATCCTATTTTCATAAATAATTTAAGTTTCAAACTTAACTGATGAAACTCCAAGATACGGCCGCCTACGTGCGATTAAAAACAAATGTAGTAATTTATTATAATGCGTAGAAAAGTTAGTTGAATACAAAGTGGTTACTTTATTTAGAGGCCTTTCCGGTGTTGAAACTTCTACCTTTGGCTTATAATGAGACGCCAGCTCATAAGCGTTGAACATTTTCAGAACTGATTGACGAAAACGTCATGCACAAAAGTTGCGTCCAACTATAATAAATCATCACTGTATACGATTCCATTAAAATAAAATAAACGAACATTGAAAAGTTAAGTACACCCTATTATTTTGATCCAGACATACTACGCAGGTACCAAACAATAATGACATCATATTATCCAGACTATAATGTACAGTGTAACTAAATAAATAGTTTTAGTTAATTAACGTTTAACTCGTATAAGTAAGAACTGGATGTATTGATAAAAAAAATCGTTATCGATTGGTTACCTGAAAACGAAAAACTGACATTATAAAGTTGTATATTTATAGTCAAAAATATAATTATGTTCTGGAAAAATTAAAGTATGTCGAATATCAGTTCATATATTATATTGTTGAAACTCTAAATAACGTTTTGCGGTAAAGAAATATGTTTTGGGAATCGACTACGTTATCGGACAAACGGTTTTCAACAAACCGCCGATACTCGGAAATAAAAAATTGTATATATATTATATTTTTTTAACACCATCTAAGTTCCTTCGTATAAAAAACATTTTAGAATATCGAGGTAACTCTCTGTAATATCAATAACAACTGTAAAGTGATCCCGTGTATGTTTTATTCTTAACACATTTACAACATTTGTTCTACCTTGTTATTAAAATCCAACTTCATGATGGTACGCCAATTTATTTTATACAGACAGAATAATTATTTTCTGGTAAAATATTCGCTACAAAAGAAAAAAAAAGTCATATACTCATATGGTGGTAAGCTTTTTATTTGTTTTTATTTATGCTAAAAATCCACTCTTATAAAACTAAATATCTAATTGAGGTAATATGGACAACAATAAAATCGACAAGAAAATTGATTTTTTAACCTAACGCAGTTTCACCACGTATTACTTCAGTCTTCGACGTCAGATTAAACAAATTAAATGGCAGATCGCTGGACACAGTTTAGGGTTGTAAAGACATAAGAAGGAAAACCGCATTGTATAACAGTGTGTAACTAAACACACGAATAAGGTAAATTAATACGACAAAAGTGCATATACACTTGATAATCGAACCATAATTTTACTCGCCGCATTTGCGTTTTACTTGTAACATATTACAATAATATCGTCGTTTTTATATGAAGCGGGTACAGGAGGAAACCAGAAAAGTCACTTTTTCCAAAATAACAATTTTGGTGTTATAAAATAATTCGTTTAGAAGCAATAATTTTTTTAATAATATGTTGTTAAACATTTTTAAAGATTAAAAAAATTGGCTATTGTGTTTTTGTCCCTGTACCCTTCATATTAGTCATTATTGTTTTTGTTACATAGATAGTTAAAAGTTATTCGTACTCATTTATTTTTTTCGGCCTTAAGCGAGCGAATATTCTACCCAAAATAAAACATCATAAGCAAACAGAGTAAGTTTAAAGGTCGTTCACGTTATTCCATGGCCACCCTCCCCCAGTGACTTCTAAACTGCGTGTAAACCTCGTCCCGATAAATCGTGTCGTCTGGCAAAATAAAAAAAGGAATACAAAAATAAAACTATAATAAAACAAAAAATGTACAAAAAAAAATACTAAATCACGAAAAATCAATTCTTTAAATTACTAAGGTCAATATTTTTTTAGTGGATAATTAATTTATAATCGAGTGCTATTCTGATTTACTAAACGGTACGATTAAAGTGCTAGATACAATTTTCTTTTGGCCCAGTATGGCAGGGTAAACGAATTTGATGTGCTGCCGCTGAACGGCAAACGATCCGTTCTGATAATACTAGACATTTTTTAATAATTAAGAGATGCCGAAATTATTGCAAGGTAAGTCTGCGTTATCGTCACA